CCGAACAGAAGCTTCGGAGCGATTCCAACAATCACATAGCAGTAACGGCAGTACCAAGCAGACCGAATAGGTTCAGCCAGCGAACAACTGGTTCATTGGAGTTCCAGTCCTTACATAGTGATCTCAACCTTATTTGATCAGTCCCAGCACAAATCCGTTTCGCTGGTTCTGTGTACTTTTGCCGGTGGAGGACTGTGTGACCGTGACAGGTATAAAGCTCGAATTGAAGTTTTTGAGGAGTTCGCAAGGTTCCGACTGAGACCATTCGCAGCCCCGAATCCCAAAAAGTATGTCCGAAAGCGCAACGTGGACCAGAGTCTAGGTATGTTGAGCACAGCCTTGAATTCAACGAGTTAGAAGTATTTCCCGTGGGCTATCTAATCACCGGTTTTATTGCAGTTTGACTGGACCATTAACCCGCTATATGTGGGTGGCACACATGCATTTGCATGGTTCAATTACTCAACAGGATTGCACTACGTCCCATCCGGCTCGGATGAACCGGATGGGAACCAATTCAATCTCACGGGGAATTCGAACAAAAAGGCATACAACTCGTTGATACACGCAAGTCCGCTCAGCGGAAGATCAACGAAATAAGGGGCTTGTTCCTACCTAGACTGGAAGATCACCAGCAATCCAACTGAAAGCATGGAAGACCTAAGAAATAAAAGGAAGTGAGGGATCAATTGTGAACGTCTCTGCCACAAAAGAGTTCCTGCGAGTACTACCAGCCTGTTTGTTTTACAGTAAGACGATCAGTTCGTAAGGGGTTTGAGGAAATTCGAATTCGAACAGCCTCCTTGCTAACCCTGATACTACATACCTCTAAATTGCGCACTTCAACAATTTGATTCAATGAGGTCACCTATTCAATCGCGTGCCACCTTTGTTGTCTTTTCGGGGGCTATAATTTGATCGGACAGTAAGAGATAGCTGTACTGAGGGGCATGAGAGCGGAGACCAAACTTGCGACGATGTAAAAGCAGCATTGCGTTACTGTCCTGGGCCGACTGACCGTCTCTGAAATGCTCTATGGAATAACTGAAGCCATAGAACTCACGTTCAATTCGAAACCCCCAGAAAAAGTTCCCTTAGACTAGGCATTCCACTCACAAACTTAAAAACAACCTCTAAGGATCTGTTCAGAGGTAAAGAAAGAAGTCAGCAAAGGTTGAGGCATTTGAACGCAACAGACAAAAACAAGTGAGAAGGGCGTGTCTACCGAATGACGGCCTGAATTGGCGAATTCAAGGTGACTCCTGGCGAACTGTATAGGCTAAACACATTAGAGGATTCCGAGCGGTGCGGTAACTGTTACCATCAATGTCGTTTGCATTGATTACTACGTCACTGATGTAACCGCGTCCTCCACTCATCAATGGGTTGCTCTGAGAATGCTACATAAGAGGAATTCGAACTATGGCGTCCCTGGGCCGGAAGAACTCGCCTCCCATATCACCTTAGCTAAGACCAGTCCGCATAACTGCCTTACTCTCCTGCTGCTGCACATTCCCTGAAGCTACCGTAATCTTGCGGTAGATGTCAGAAAATACAGCATCATTATATACATGTAGGAAGACGCGACTATGACGATTTTAGCTGAAGTGAGGCAAGATTCTCTCAGCATTTTCTTTTTCAGTCCTCGCTCGTTCCACAGCACCAGTAATCAATCGCCAAGAGTACCGGATATACTAGTTGTGGAGAGGATTCGCGTCAGAAAACAAGATATCTGGCTTCTGTAATTCTCTACAAGAACCAGCATCAAGTGGTGTACATTGCATGGACCAGAGCTTGACCAGGATATAGCCAACACCAGCAGCCACACTTTCTTGTTTGTGTAGTTAAGCTCTTCTTTCCTGCCCCCTGTTAAGGGGCCCCTTGCCAGAGGGAGAGTGTTAAGGGTGGATATTTCCAGTTGGCCTCGTCTGATCGGTGCACCAGTAGTGCTCTGGACATGGGTAAATATCAGCAAGAAGTTTGAGGTTGTGTTGTGAGGAAGCCCCTAAAAATACAAGAACAGTCAGGATCCAAATTTTCGTTTACTCATGGGAAAAGGCTACCCACCTCTATTATGTACGGACCACCTTATTAGGCAGGAAAAAATAACCAGTGCTATCTACACAGATGCAGTAAATTGTTATGAAGTGACCCGAAACGCCGGAAGCATGGATGTACCAAGTGGTGGTGGGAGAAGAAAAGTAGTACCGAAATCAGCACTGAACTGAGCGTGGAGGACAAGTTCANAGCATGATCCGTGATTAGGCTTAGGATAGGCTGGTGGAATGGGAAAGAATAGAATAGAAAAGTGTTATGTAGCAGACGATAAGATGGGGAACAAAGTCAGACCACTGGCAGCGTGAGCACCAAACTCCTAAAAAAGCTGGTGCTCTCAGGAGGCACCCACCAAAGCGAACGAGTTTTTGTGAGAAACCTGTGTTCCAGCAAGAGAAAGGATTCGTGAAAGGAGATACTAACAAAAATGAGAAGAGCACTAATACGCCTCTGAACGGGAAACATTTCATGGGCTAGCGGTGGGCGGAGCGTGCGCTAAAGATACTGATGGCCTCCAAATCCAAAAATATTGACGACAGTGGTAGAATGTTTTATGTATACCGGAAGTGAGCCGAAATGGTCACGGTAGAAAGAGCACGTCTGAAATAAACTGCATTTTTGGAATTTAATTCTGTAAAACCTGTTTGGTATGGCCTTGACATCGGGAATGATTTAATGGAGATGGGCAGTGTCTTAGGTAATCAAAATCTAGGCCGATGGTTAGAGGAACACAACAGAAGAAGGAATGAAAGCGAGAACGCCCGGTATGAAATGTAGTGGGTAGTTTGGGATTCGAAATTACCCAGAGGATACGCTATTTTTCCCATTTGAAAGGAAATTCTGGAATTCGACATCTTACAAAGGATATGGTGAAATCAAGCGTCCACGATAACGATTACTGGGTCGGATTGAGAAAGGTGGAGAGAGAATGTTGTCTCAAATATTCTTCCACGATAGAGATACATGACAGCGTTATCTGTGCGGTAATGTACGGTAGGTAAACTAGTACTTTGTAGGAGAAAAACAATGCTGAAGTGCTTGGTTGTAACAAGAATACCAGTAACGATTAAGAGAAGGGAGGGGGTTGGGAAGAAGCGATACTGCGAACAACGGCTTACTCAAACACCCTGAACAAGGTCCTATTCAAGACAGGTTCCTTCCTATGTCAACAACAGGGTCACGATTACGTCATGAATTAGTCAGCGCGACAAACTAACAAACCAAAAGTATTTAATTATTGATTGCTATTTATCGATTAGGGCGGAGGTGGTGTAGTGGCAAGTGGCGCACTATCTCAAACGGACGGTCAGGGGTTCGAGTCCCGGATCGATATATATCCGATATCCTAGGCCAACCAAACCTTCCATCACTCCGGGGTCGGTGAATTGTACCAGACTCGTCTGGGGAGATAAAAGCACTGACTTGTACATCGGCTGGCCACCGCGAGTCATGGTATGCCACATACGCACTCATTACGCCACTACGATTCTGAATGGAAGTCCAATGCGTGGGGCCACCTCAGACGGGATTGATTAACGCTAAAAATTTTAACCTTCATCCCTCTATTTATCGATTACCTTATTTGCTCGCAGAAATGGATTTTTTTATCAATTTTGAAGATCCACTGAGGATTTATTAGGTGGAGGTAACGTAAAGACTCAACGCGCTACTTTTAAGCATAAGATTAACAATTTGAATGACCCCCAGGCTAACCAAGCTTTTTCTTCTCCCATGACCGACCACGGTATCTACCCAGACTGCTCGAAAAAAAGAAGGAACAAAATAGCGTTCACCCGCCCTTCTCCATAAACCAAATAAATTTTTCCTTTTCACTTCTAGATATTAGGAAGCGGTGCTTTAAAAAGCTAGGGGATCTTATTTTGAATTCGTCATTTGTTAAAGTCTTTGAGGGATGCCATTAGATCAGCCAGGCGTTACGATTACAAGAAAAGGCTCACAGTCTTAATCGAAAGCACTTAGTNATAAAACCAGAAGCAGACTATAGACACGCTCCTCAGATTGGGTTGCCATTTTGACGACTGCCGACTGCCAAGTTTTTCTGTGTAAATAAAAACGTTCTGAAAATCAACCCACTACCGAAGTGAGAGCGATGAAATATCCCACTGAGATCCTTACAAATCATGGTGCAGTTTTTTGCTAAAAAGCCCAGTAATCACGCGGACGGGGACAAATTACCATTGAAGTATACATAAATGGTCTTCTGTGTGAGAAGTAATTACAGTAAGGCGACAGGAGTTAAAGGATACATCTTCGGCGAAAATGTCTTTGTTCAATAGACACTTCAGTGGGCCCAAGGTCGCGCCACTCACCTTAGAGGTAATCAATCGCACTCGATCGGCTAGACACTTACACAAAAAGAACCTTTTTTGTTCAATTTGCCGAATTTCTGGAAGGCAATCGTTGGAATAGGGCGTAGGCATAAAAACACTGTTCAGGGTGAATACTAAAGGTACAGCTCTAACACTAAAGATGATCACCAGGAATTCCTCCCCTGCTCAAAGTCAAAAAAGAGAGGCAACCCGTATAGCTAAGTAACCAAAACTGCCCGAATCAGCTTCCTTAACTACTGAGCTAAACGAATGCAATTGTAAGGATACGTCTTTATACAGAAATGGTAGCGGTGCTACTCCGTAAGCCTGAAGAGCGGTGAGAGTGGAGGAATCTTGATCTCCACTAAAAGGGATGGCCTGAATGCACAGTGAAAAAGAGCAGCCTGAAAGAGATGGGCGTCCTAGAAGCAATCGTCAATGAGGAGAGTCCTTGCTATCGACTTAGATGAGCTCAATAAAAGTTTTGGGATTTGCAGTAGGAAGGAAAGGGTCTGGTCTGCAACACCCGAGCCTTGATATATGCCAAGATGCCAAGAGCCGAATCGCCGAAGTGCAATTCGGCAGTGGGAATAGCATGAAATGAGAATGCCGAACTTAAAAATAGGGAGGAGCGTAGAGGGTGTTGGCGGCGACTGTCACCTGTAAGCCGCCGATGATTGCTCTTTCCGATCCGGCTAGACCGGCTAGAAAAACCGGAAACATCACACTGAAACACGAATGAAAATGCGCCGTGTCATCGGAGATGTCAAGCAGAATCAGCACAACGATTAAAATAGCTCCTACCGCAATGCACCAATCCGATCCGGCTAGACCGGCTAGAAAAACCGGAAACATCACACTGAAACACGAATGAAAACGCGCCGTGTCATCGGAGATGTCAAGCAGAATCAGCACAACGATTAAAATAGCTCCTACCGCAATGCACCAATAGTTCCTGTTCCAGAAGTCAAGATGATATGCTGACTGTACAGCTTATAAGGCTTGAAGTAAAGAAAACAAATCCTTGGGATATAGCGAATTCAAAAGAAGCTCTGGTTAAAATATTGAGCTCATAGAAAGTAAACGAATACGAAGCAGCGATGGTGATTCCGAAAAAGCATGATGTACTCATAAGGAAATGTTCATGAAAAAGATAACAACTAAGACCACAAAGGGCAAAGAGAAATCCTCCGGGTTGAGTGATTTCGAAGTTTGGACGTGAAAAGGTTCTGATGAATTCAACAAGGAGGTAACGTTCAGGTTCCATGTCTAATAAATACTGGCGGGTGTGCGATACCGACACCGACATATGATGGACAGTAAGATGTTGCATTGTTCTCAGAAATGCTCAGTTTGATCGAAACTCATGAGGAAGCCTCGAAGCCCCACCTACGGGCTTCTACTAAAGTGCAATTGCCGAGGACATAATTCAGAAGACTAACTCAGGGTGCTAACTACCAATGCGATACTGTATTAATACTGAAAACCACGTTTTCGCTTTTCACCATTTTTCACAGAATTGCCGAAGTCTTAATAAGCATAACGACGAGAGTTAGATTCCTCTAATGAATTCATTGAAAGCGTCAAGTATTAAATGAGCCTTAGTATTCAGTGCGATCGACTTCCCCATTGAGTTCGTTCAGGGAAGGAAAATTTTCTCGGTATGAATGACTTGAACCACGCTGTTGACATAGAAATTCTAAGAAGAAAATGTAAAAAAAGAGCCCATAACATTACTAGTTAATATGAGGGTTATATTCGATATGTCAGAAACTTTCTCGGGAAGCGTTTGTGCTGAATGACAATCGGTTTGCCTATTTTTAGGATCAAGTTCCCCTCCCCGATGCTATTATTGTCTTAGAAAAATTAACTAAATGGTGGTTCCATTATGTCCTAGCAAAAGTACGCCTAAGCCTAGACTTCGGGAAGGACAAGGATGTTTCCAGGAAAATTTGATCAAGAATCGTTTGATTCACATTGAAGACAAACGCAAGAGCAGATAGCAACAACAAGAAACTGAAAGTTCCGAGAAACCATGAAAAAAGTTTCTTCAACAAAAGATATTGAAGCACAAACATGGAAAATAAACAAGTAAACATCCAGAATTTAGTAATGCCGAACAGTAGGTTCCCTGACATCCTCAAGAGGACTAGGCCAAACGGCTTTTTTGAAAACAAGAAGGAATTATCTCAAAAATGAATATGCTATACTATTTATTTATTTATTTATTTCATACGCTATAATATACTGTTCTCGGATATGCAGCATCTTCTTTCGCATTTGTTTACAAGAAAACCGAAAAAACGACCAATAGGTTCCCCTTTATCTCTGGCCAAGGCCAGGGTACAGTAATATAAAATAATAGCGGCAAAAACAGTAGATAGAAAAACTCACATCAGAGCCGATCGACTCAAAAATATCGCTCATTGTTTGTGTCGAAAGAATCTTTGCCAATATGTATTCCACACGGTTCGCGAGGAGAAATACCTACGACGGGACGACGCGGACACCTTCACGAACACATCGTCATCAAGAATTACACGTATAGAAATCTGCAATTCGATTGTGTGAATAAAAAACGAACGACTAAAAGCAAAGCGAAGGACGAGAAGAAACCATTTCGAGTGAAAACGACCAAAAACACAAAAGCAATGGAAAAGAGGGGGTCATCCTCTGACAGCACTACATCATACCGTTCCCAAATCCCCCTCGGTTATGGGTTGGGTAAGGGGTTACAGTGTGGGGAGACGGCGAAGAAGAAGAATGATGAAATCAGAACATGGACTTGGCAACTGTGCGACTAACATAACCGGCTTCACTTGAACGCGTAGGGAAGAAGAAAAATGAACGGCATGCAAGAAGACTTGTCGTAAAAGAAAATTAATGAATGAAAAAAGGACCATCGTACTAAGGACAATGTGGGAGGAGGCTGACAAAATGATGGAACACCCACGTAGGGCAACTAATCAGAAAAAAGGACGAGGGGAGGGAAAGGAGAGTAAGAACTGTCTGAGAAAAGCACTGAAATAGCGGAGTTTAAGGAAAAAGTTATCATTTCCAGAATATTCGAAGTTCAATTGATAACAGGCAGTTTATTACAGTAACCAGTATGGAACCAAGTACGGTATAGGACATGATAAAGTGGAACAAAGAGAAAAACCGCAAAAAAAATGAAAAACGCCAAAGAAAAAAACGAAGGGAAGAATTTAAAAGCAAATTGTAAATCCAACGGCTCGTTAAGGTGTATGATGGTGCGGCATATCAGTTATGGGTTCTAGGTTAGCATTAAGAATAATCGGAGAATTGAGAAATTCCTGTCAAAACAGCTGTTCCCAGAAGGCTCATAACTCAAGTGATAGCTGAAAAACCTCATCACAAAGTCCGCATAGCCAATTTTTTCTTCAGAAAGAAAAAAGCCTGAAATGCTTTGCCAAAACAAAAAAAAACACCAAGAAAAAGTGGTCGCAGGTTTGATTCCGGATCAGCCGGGATAAGAGTAGCGCTTCCTCTCAGAGCGCTTGTTGGTCAGAGAAAGACTGTGATTTTGAATAGAAGATAAGTGGAGTTTATGTATGCTAAGCGACTACTTCAGGATGAGCCGCGGTTGAACTCTGTTATGATGAAAAGATGCTTGCAGTGGGAGGCATACCTAGAGCTTACATATATACTGTACCATGCCGGCATCGCTTTACTTAAGGCAAACTTTTGGTTTCCATGGGAACCCCAACGCCAACCAGGCAACTACAAAACTGTGGAATGACCAGTTGTCTCCGTTGGATTACCACACACCAGAATACGGTCCAGCTGGCATTGAAATTAACGCTCATCTCCTCCCTCTAAAAACGAAGTTGGCTCTACTGAACCCATGCCGCCAGATTCTCAATCCGTGCTGTTAAGACTGAAGCTACAATCCTCTCAACTTTGCACTCTTTGAAGGAAAAATTCATGAGAACTGAGCAAACGCTGCCGGCCTTCGATTCTGAAGAGCTCGTGAACTGTTTTGATGGAAATTTGCTTTGATGGCATATGTATGTTGCCTACTAAAGGAAGGTTGTGTAAACATGAAAATAGCATAAGGGAGGCGTTAACAAAAACATTAAAAGTGAGGAGGGTTAACGCTTATGCCGCCTCCTGAACTGGGCATATAGATAACTATACTTGTCTCATTCATAACCAACTACTCTATTATAAAATAAATAAAGAGTTCCACTACGGACTGATTGTGAGCGAATAGCGGCCTGATTTGCCAAAATGGGCCGGTGGTACCTTCAAAGGCTTTCATGTTTTGGAAGCGGTGCACATAGCTACTCCGAAGCCCATGCATATGTAAAAGACTATAGCAATCAAGCAAGCCTCCAATAATAATACGTCTCCAATCTGCTAAGACCCCCTGTTTTCGAAAGCCTTCATTGAGATCCTTCTAGGTACATATATACATAAACATATGCTCATATGGTTTTGTGAGCGATCAGATTGAGGCTCTGAAAATGACTTCACTTCAGTGGGATCGTGTTCACAAGCCTACTTTCCGACGGATGTCACATCACCAACCCAAGTTCGGACCGATGTCACATAACCAACCCACAAAAAAGGGACTGAGTTGGAAAACGACTGCAATGAGTTTCAAAGGATGAGAAATAATCGGTCAATACGGGAAGAACTGGAAGAAGGAAGTAGCTAAGTGCTGACCATGAACGACTTTCTATGAATCTTGGCATCGTGTGAGTTCCGATATGAAGATGTGTGGTATAGCCTCAGCCAAGATGGTACAGCACTTTATTCAGTCAACGTTTCGGCGTTACNGTAACGCCGAAACGTTGACTGAATAAAGTGCTGTACCATCTTGGCTGAGGCTATACCACACATCTTCATATCGTAGCTAAGTGCGGCAGACGGGTAGTTGGAACAGTGACAAAGGTGACAAAGAATGATGGGCTCGTCAGGGTTGTGGGGCACTGCTGGCGACAACCACAGCCACATCAGTCAAATTTTGAAAAATGCGTGATTTTGAAAAAGAGATGCTCGGGTAGTGGCCAGAATGACTGACTATGAGGAAACGGGCACCAATTCCATCCCACCTACCCTTCCTGTCTCCTTCGCCGGCAACTTCCCTTATTGCACCACATATGAGACGAGTTTTCCTTGTGCCCCGTCTAATTTACAGCCATGAGTACTGTATCACAAATGGCGATAGACTGCAAAATCTGTTTTGTATACCCAAAAAACCTCTGGGATGGGTTTTCTCCTTCAATAAATTCAAAGCTTTTTTGGTGAGAGCCAGTTTTGAAATCGCTCTTTTGCCTTCTCGAAACTGCATCCGTTAGCTTCGCTACGCTTCCTACTCCGATTTATTTTTGCTCCCTACTCCCATTTATTTTCCTTTGTAATCCATAACCTTAAACGAATAGCGCCAAACCGAAAAAAGAAGAACATAGTATGAAACGAGAAGAGAGCAGAACAAAAGGAGAATCGTAAAAACTGGAAGCGATTAGAAACATTGCACTGAGAGAATCCGCTAAGAACGAAACGAATAAAAGATAGGAACACTGCGAGCGAGAAGCGGGGGAAGGGTCTTTTGTGGCGATAAGGGGGGTTGTGAAGTGGACTGACTAAGGGAGTCATGTGAATAAGCGGAAAAACATGTCATGCAGTGGGTGGTGCCCTATGAATGATGAAAGATAACTGGGGGAAAAAGTGCTGGCTGGAATATCCCGGGTGGTGTGCCACCTCCTTCGTTTCCACTTGGAATCACATAAGAAACAATTAGAATGAACAATGTCAATAGAAACCCTCTTGGGGGATAGCATTCACCCTACCCACTTTCCTGTGTTCTCAGTAGGTTCTGTCTGTCTGCT